TTTTTTTTTTTTTTTTTTTTTTTTTTTTTTTGGTTTTTTCGAGACAGGGTTTCTCTGTGTAGCCCTGGCTGTCCTGGAACTCACTCTGTAGACCAGGCTGGCCTCGAACTCTCGAACTCAGAGATCCACCTGCCTCTGCCTCCCAAGTGCTGGGATTAAAGGCGTGCGCCACCACCGCCCGGCTACTTTGTAGTTTTGTTTGCTCTTCTTTTTCAGATACTGCAAGTTGTAAAGTTACATCATAGTTCCGCCCTCTTCCCGTGTCAGGCATTTATGGATACCTGTTTCTCTTCGGCCTGGCTTTAAGCAGCAGCTCACAAGTTTTGGGCTGTGTTCTCTTTCCTTTCATTTGGAGGCACCTCCTAATTCCCAAGAACATAAAATTTCTCATTTACTTCAGTCTATCTGTACCCTATTGTGGTCTGAGGTGTGTCTAATATTCTGTTTTTAAAAAATCTCTTGGTATTTCATTTGTCATCCAACAGTTTTTCCTTGGAAAAAGTCCCACATGCATTTTAAATGAATGAGCCTGCTCCATTCTTGTCCCGGGTCTTTTAGATCTACTTCCTTCACTGGGTTCCCTCTGTGCTCTAATTCTATGCGTCTGCTGGTTTCATCCATTATGTAGAGAGGTGTCGATGCTCCAATTGGTTCTACCATTAGCCAGCTTCCCTTGTATTAGGTGTGCAATTGTTTATAATTGTTATAAACTATTACTATATTAAAAATTGTCAATTTTTTTGTCTTAGTTACTTATAACCTTTCTCCCAGTGTTATAATATTCTCCTTTGATTAATATCTTACTTGTTTTCACCCTATGTGTCTTTGGGTCTATAGTGAATCTTAGTGAATCTGAAATTTTTTTTTTTTTTTTTTGGTTTTTTGAGACAGGGTTTCTATGTATAGCCCTGGCTGTCCTGGAAGTTACTCTGTAGACCAGGCTGGCCTTGAACTCAGAAATCCACCTGCCTCTGCCTCCCAAGTGAATCTGCATTTTTTTAAAATAGGATTTTTATTAACATATAATATATTTAATAAAAAATAATATCCACTCTGGCTCTCTCTTCCATTGCAAGGGGAAGAGAACTAGGGAGGGGCTGGTAATGCCCACCCTTTTCTGGACAAGCCCTGTCTCCAAGATTCTCCTCTACATCTTGCTTTCCAACAGGCTCTG